TAGATGTAAGTAACATCGCATTAGTAAAACAATGCGTGTTTCCTCTTCCAGTTACACCGGTCTTCTGGCTACATATTTGTGGGAGCTTGGTTATTTTTCTGAGAATATCCAAAAGATGGCCCGAGTTTATCAACTCACTACACATAGAGGAAGCATATTTAATCCACAAGTACAGATCTGAAGCTCATCTCAACTTAAAAATAAACTTGATAGTTATAGTTGCTAATATTGTACAATTAGGTAAGTTGCTGAGTGGGTTTTAAGAGGTAAAAGTCCTTTGAAAATAACCCGGTAAAGGACGTTTATGCAGAATGAGTTTTAGTGAAATCTGCTGTAATTGCAAATTAAGTATAATTAGTTTATGAAATAAATAAACGAAAAGGGCACTTGGATCGGAATAGTTGGAGACTCATAGTAATATTAGGTGTCAGGAAGCCTGCACGTAGATTTTTCCTGGGGTTCAGACCTGTAAAAATATTTAATAATGACCTGAGAAAGGGTTGGCCCTTAGTCGAGGAAATTCAGCTTTTAAGCTTTTGTCGAAAATAATAATAATAGTAACAATAAACTTATTTTTTATTTGTAATAATATTACAGGAGGCGAGATTTAGATACTTCAGTATATTCTACCATCAGACCCCCTCAACAATATTGGATGTGCATAAACTGAAAATCTGTTACAAACTAATGGCTGTATACAATAACGACAATACGTTATAAAATGTAATGATTTTAAAGGCATAAAGAAAACATTACGACAGTTAACACTTATGGGTTACAACAGACTTCGCTGCTGATCAAGTAAAACTTCTCTCATTTTTTTCTTGAACTTCAACAAATTTAAAGTTATCATCCATTATACTACCTATTTTCCTCGAATGATCCACAGTTAGTATATTATTACAGTTTAGGTGTATGTCTATGACCTTTTTTAAATCACTCCATTTTGTGTTATTTGCATATATCAACATATTTGTCTTTAAAGGGTTAAACTAAAGTTTTCAATTTGGGCAAGATCTTGATCAATTTTGATATTGACTGTTTCCAAGTCGTTAGTGCTAAATTAATAGGAAATCTGAGTATAGTCGGCAAAAAATTGTATGCCGGATGATTTTACCTCTGTTTCTAAATCTGAGATATATACTAAGTGACATATAAATCCGAACACCCAGTTTAAATGGTTTTATTTTAATAAAATTTTGTATAAGTACGTAATGAAGCATAATATTTAAATGATAAAAATTTCAAAATGATTGCACTGCTTTAAAGCCCTTTGACCTTTAATAATGTGTGGATGCACCCTGATGTGCAACGCATTCTCCAACGCGCCTAGGCATGCTTCTGACCAGGTGGTCAATGTCCTCCTGTGGTATCTCATTCCAGGCAACCACCAACTCCTCTCGAAGTGCTTCTAGAGTCTGAGGAGGACGTTGCAAATTGAGCAATCTCCTACCCATCATATCCCACACGTGCTCAATTGGGGATAAGTCGGGAGATCTTGGTGGCCATGGTAACAATGTGACATCATTATGTAGAAAGAAGTCTATTGTGACTCTTGCAACATGTGGTCGGGCATTATCTTGTTGGAAAGTTGGATCTGCCAGGGTGTCAAGATAGGGTAGAAGATGGGGGTTCTAGAACTTCGTGCATATAACGCTGCGCGTTCATGTTACCTCTGATGAAGATTAAAGGTGACCTGGAACCATAAGCTATAGCACTCCAAACCATAACTCCAACAGTGTGATGAACATGTCTTTCAACAAAAAACTGTGGATTCCTCGTTTCACCACGTCGCCTTCTAACCCTGGCACGACCATCCTGCATGCCTAAAGAAAATCGAGACTCGTCACTAAACACAATACTGTTCCATTCCTGATCCCAGAGTGACCGTTGTCTGCACCACTCAAGGTGATTACGTCGGTGTTCTCGAGTTAAAGGGAGGACCCAGTGTGGCCGGTATGAAAACAAGCCAAAACTTCTTATTCGTCGGTAAACACTTCGCATGCCAATAGGTCTTCCGTGTTCTGCAAACCATTCATTTGCAATGGACCTGGTAGTGGAGAAACGGTCCCTTAAGGCCAATAATCTTAGGCGGCGATCTTCACGGTTTGTTGTTCTACGGCGGCGTCCAGTGCTCCTTGCTCTTTGCGTACGGCCTTCTCAAAGCCATGCCTGACAACACCTAATCACAGTGTCTACACTTCTTTGCACTCTAACTGCAATTGCCCGAAAAGGTAGTCCAGCTTCCCGAAGTCCCACTATGCGGTCCCTATCAAACTCACTAAGTTGACGAAATCGTACAGGTCTCCGTACTCTAGGCATCCTAACCGATCGTAAAGGATGTCAAGAACCAAAATCCGCCAACGTTGATTCTTTACTGCGGCTGAAATATTCATTTTTAGAGCGTTAGTGAATTAAAAAAAAAGCAGTATAAAAACCGGAATGTCCAACTGATAAGGCTGAAAATTTTTTCACTTGTTATTTACAGTAAGATAAATACATTTACCAACTTTTATTAAAATAAAACCATTTAAACTGGGTGTTCGGATTTATATGTCACTTAGTATATAATGAAAATAACAGGGGCCCTGACATAGATCCCTGTGGTGCACCAAAAAAGAATTGTTGTGCGGTAGAGTACCGTTGACTTAGACAAACCTTTTGAAACCGATTTTCGAGGTGAGTTTGTATAAACGAAAGAGGTTGTTCAGAAAATACATAATAACCGCATTTAGACACTAGAAATGAATGATCAGTTGTATCAAATGCTTTAGTAAAGTCAAGAAGTATGAGATCTAGTATATATATATATATATATATATCTCTTTGGACACTTGCCTATTTAAATTTGCTTCGTGGATGGTATAACAGTTGGGTGTCATCATTGACTCTGGAACTTAGAAAGAGTTTTTTCTCGGAATAGAGTATACCTGAACTTCTAATCAAAAATGATAGATTGTAGAAGAGGGAAGGAGCAAGAAGAGTATTTTTCAGATTGATCCATTTATTATTACACCAAAATTCTTCAGTTTTAAGTCATAGCTGACTCTTTTTAAAAAATGATTTTTGGTGTTGCATTCATTTTTGTTATATACGTATAGCACCTGTTACAGCTTATCCCTACATACTGGTATCTCCCGCAGCTCAATAACTAACAGAGCAACATCTTATTAAATAATAAATAAAACTTACTTACTTGCTATATGTATGTATTTTTATGAATATTGGCTCAACATTTTTATTCGATTTTTCATATAAATATATTTTCCCCATTTTTGGCTGTCACTAAAGGATCCTTCCTCATGAACGACAAAATATTGAATATTATTTGATCCCTGGGAATATACGCAAGTATATTTCCAGGATTAATACGGCAAGGGCGCAAATAAAACTTTATGGTGCCGATACTCCCTCCGCTTTCCTGTCTCGCTTTGTAAATACGAGTTACAGACCTAAAGAGGGTTGACACTTCCTGCGTAATGCTTCATTTATATTTCCATATTTCGGAAGCTCTAGCTAACAATTCGTATTCCGTGGTTACACACGAACATTCCAGATGTTATCGATATTTTAACAGTGGAAACTTCCACTGCAAATGACGAAATTAAACGATATATCCTGCCCTTTTACATACAACGTGGGTCTCTGAGTGTTCTCAGTGTGACGTACGTACTGAAGTGTTGTAATGATTTGACATTGAAAGCATGGACATATACAGACATATGATTTTGTTACAGTAATTTCTGTAGAAAATACGTCCAATTTTTTTTAATTTTTAATACGAAATCAAAGTGTAAATAAAGCAAGCCAAGCTCGAGCAGTCTTCATATATTAAAACAATAATGCAAAATAATATAATATATCACAGACTTTTCTACATAACAATGTCAGACAAAACACAAAAAATATTCATTCCATAACTACAATCTCTCAGCCAGTCTTAAAAAACAAAAGCATATAAACTATGAAACTGCATCAGCTCACAGTCTCAAAATAAAACAATCATTACATTAGCTTAGAAAGTGATTTGTACAGAATTTGAACAGACTTTTATATCAATCTGCTGGCCAATAAATAAAACCACATATCTTGATTGGATACATTGGAAAAGATCACCGTGGTGGTTTGAACGTAAGTAAACCCTTAACTACATCTGCTTTTGTATTTATTGGCCAACAGAGGCGAGATGGATTTGAGAGACAACCTTAGGCAAAGTTCAGGTGTTATCATATTACAAAATCAAGGCGCCTATTCATTCTATTGGCGAACCGATCTATGATTGTACTCACGTCTATTTTAATATCCCTATGCATAGACAAAAGAGCTAAACCCACTTATCGCTCTTGTAACATAGTGGAGCGCAGCCAAGTTTTTATCCTCTTCAGATGGGAGAAACTGCTTTCAAATGCCTCAACACTTACCGGCAATGAAATCAATAATTGTAGGGTGTTTCAGAACTATGGGATCACACTTGTAGGGGTTAGGCAGTGTAACAGTAGAAAACATTTGAGTATAGGCATCCATATCGGGACTACGGCACTACGGCCCTAAGACGCGTTAAAATTCAGAAAGACGACGAATTGCCTAAATAGGATTTAATGCATTTAATGTTTCCCTTTTGTATATGATATCATCATAACAATTGTTCAAAATGTCTCCCTCCAACCTGAATATACCGTTCCTGTGGGGACATGTAAAGTCTTATGATTAGGAAACTCCAGTAGAAACAGATCAAGACTTGAATGGACGAATTACAGCAGCATTTGAAATCATTCAAAACGAGTCAGCCGAAATCATATGCGACGTGTATTCAGGCTGGAGGAAGACATTTTGAACAATTGTTGTGATGATATCATGTACAAAAGGCCAAAATTAAATGCATTAAATCCTATTTAGGCGATTCATCATCTTCCTAAATTTTAACGCGTCTTAGGGACGTAGTGCCGTAGTGGCACTTCTCCGGATAAGGGTCCCTGTGCTCAAATATTTTCTACTGTTACACCGAATAACCCCCAGAAGTTTGATCCCTTAGATCTGAAACGCCCTGTATGTGCCACTATCACTTATATTGATGTGAAAGTGTGACTTTTCTTCTTGCAGCAGAACATTCCTTCTCAGTAGCTAACGTGTACTTCACTAAGACTTGTGATATATCACCCAGCAGCTTTGAATCCTACGTAAAAAAGCAGTTCAGCTATATCTTCATTTATGTGAATTATAATACCTTCTGTGGCGTTATACTGGTGGTGAGTACCCTCATATATATATATAGCTGTATAGTAAGTACTTATACTACGCTTTCCAAAGACAGGTCAGATTAGCAGGACGAAACTAAGATTAATGGAATGGAGCATACATTAAATTTATTTGTATTTATTGAAGATTTATTTAGCATTAATGCTGCAATGTCAATTTTGTATAATTTTCCATGTACACATTTCTTGAGCCAATTTTCTGTAATTTTACATTCTTCTCTATTACCATTACCATGACGAAGCATTTTGAGTATTCTTGAAGTGATTTTCTAATTTCACGTTAAACATTTTAAAATTCGAAAACTGTTTAATATCATTATTCCATTTGGCAGCACGTGAATATTCTCAGTGCTAGTGAGTACTCTCTTTTCAGACGCTGGACTGGGTGGCAGCAATAATATGGAACTTCGGTGACACTTTTATAGTCACTATAACAATGATATTTACTACGAGATTTCAAAAGCTGAAAGCAAAAGTTATGTGGCATGTTGATTCTCCTGCATCTTCCCGAACACTCAGCTACTCTGAAAATGGGGTAAGAACATAACCTCAATGGCTTAGTTTAGTTTTCAGTTATGTTGTACTAGTTGTAGAGAAGTACAGCCTAAAACCTTTTGTCTCTGGTGTGTAGCAAAACTATACTCGTTTATCTTTTTTCGAGCTTTCCACATGCATGTCCGATCATTCCGCAAAATACACCTCACTAACCCCATTGCTCCGAATACCTTAACCAGTCTTATAAGAAAGAACACAAGAAATTAATTTCTTCAACAAAAAAAGAGTATTACAGTAGTCTAATAAAATCCAGCAACAACAAAGCTAAAAAAATATGAGAAATAGTCAATGAAGAAACCGGAAGAGTAAAGAAACATCATCAAATAGTGCTGAAAAATGAAGACAAAGAATTTACTGACACCCTCGTACCCGACATGTTTGGCAAGTATTTTTCCACAATAGCATAGAGCAAGTTAGCAGAACACTTTAAATGTGACAACCCATCAAGATGTCCATCACAAAATCGGGTAGCATCATCAATATTCTACGAGGATGTCACCACTGAAGAGATCGTGGAAGTAATCAGCAGCCTTCCAAATAAAAAAAGCAGTGGAAATGATGGAATTTCAACGCGTGTGATAAAGTTTGTAAAACGTGAAATATCTTCCCCCCTATCAGTCCTTATTAATAAATCAGTGAAGCAAGGTAAATTCCCGAAATGCTTGAAACTAGCTATTGTTATTCCCGTATACAAAAAGGATGACCGTACAGACCTTGAAAACTACAGACCAATATCACTTTTATCGATGATCTCTAAAGTCATTGAAAAATGTCTGTATAAACGTATATTATATTTTCTCAATCGCTATAATGTCTTATCAGATACCCAGCATGGGTTTAGACCCTCACTATCTATAGAAACGGCGACCTTCGATTTTTTTCCCATATATATATATATATAGAGAAGTAGACGAAAACAGATACGTTGCTGGACTATTTTTTGACCTTTCGAAAGCATTCGATGTAATGGATATTTCGTTTATGGTGGAAAAATTGTACTGCTTAGGTATAAGGGATTTTATTCTCAGCTGGATCCAGTCTTTCCTCACAGATAGAAAATTGAAAACGAAGGTCAATGGTCATACGTCAACTCAATATTCCGTGAATATAGGTGCGGCACAAGGCTCAGTACTTGCACCACTGCTCTTCATTGTATACATAAATGACTTGAAATTGTCTGGCTTCATGATTAATTATGCGGATGACACATCTATCGTCGTCAGTGCCACGACACCGCAGGATCTTCTCGAATCTATTGAGAAAGTCAAAAGTGAAATGAGCAAGTGGTGCCAGTCTAACCGCCTCATTTTGAATGAAGATAAGACTGTTGAAATTCATTTCTTCAACAAGAAACCACGCATGGATATTGATAGCTTTTCAGATCAAACTGTCTTCTTAGGAACTCATGTTGATAGTAAGTTAAGCTGGCAACCACAAATAAATCACATTTGCAACAAAATCAACAGTGCTTATTTTGCAATATTGAAATTAAAGCCTAACATCCATCTAAACTCACTCTTAGATATGTACTACGCGCTAGTTTATTCTCACCTCACTAACAATATAATCATATGGGGACAGGCAACAATGATTAACAGATTATTCATCCTGCAGAAAAGAGTACTTTGATTAATTTTTAATATTAATAAGAGGGACTCTTGTAAAGAAATATTTAGACGCTATAATCTTCCATCCATCTAAACTTCCATCTATATCTACAAATGTGCCATCTTCGCATTTGAACATAGCAATAGATTTGTTCGTAACAACGCCATTAATAGTCAATACAACACTAGAATAGGGCATGATCTGAGTATACCGACACATAACTCTGCCCTATTCCAAAAATCTCCCACTCTAGCGTGCACTAAGGTATACAATAATCTGCCGAGTGAGTTGCGGAGAAGCACTAATATCCTTGCGCTGAAAAAACATCTCAGGAAATATCTGGTTGAAAAATGCTATTACTCTCTACATGAGTTTTACTAACACATGAAAGTATCTGTTTTTTTAAATTCTTTTAAGCTGTTAATCATTTCGTTATCAGTGAATTGTCTATTATCGTGGAGTAAATGTATTTTGATTTCACTTTTTATTCGAGTTTTAACGAAAGTATGTATGTGTTCTTTGTAAGCTTCTAACCATTTGCTCGATGTTTGTTGTGTTTATATATTATGTATTTCTAACAGATTCTCCTACCGCTTTTCTTTTCTTTGTATCAGCTTCAATGATTTTTACCGGCTAGACGAACATTTTTTGTGATAAAAAAGTCGCTGTATATGTATATATTTTTACCGTTACAGATTAAACACATTACGATTCTTGCACTGTACCTGTACCTATAATGTGATTTAACCTTTTAAATTGTTTTGTAATTGTAATGTCCTTATTTATTTTATAATTAAAGTATTTTTGTGGCATATTTGCTCAAACGCATATATGACACTCAAATTGATATTGACAAGTCTTATATTATGTAACATGATCCAATAGGACAATAAACTATCTATCTATCTATCTATTGCGAATATGCACCGCAATCAGCAGCACATGGAGCAGATAGGATGCTTAGGGTAGTTTCATCCTTAGAAGCGACGGGCTACAAACGTTTGTCGGTGCCGGTATGGCTGATGACTGTCTGTCTCTATCTCTTTTTCTCCCTTCCTCTCTCTTTCTCTCCGTCTCTCTCTCTCAACCACACTTTTCCCTGGTCCCTGTACATAGTATTTCTATGATGAAATAGACATAGTGAAGTGGTAGATAATATGAACCGAGACGACAAATCCTCAAAATCTGCACAGTTATTACGTGAAGAACCTATATAATATCAAAACAAACCGATAAAACGTCCACTTGCTGGTAGTTTCTAATACGAAGGGTCCTAACGTTTAGGCAACACACAGAAAGAGTGTACATCAACTTAGTCGCAGCTAGCTCCCAGTTGACATCTTGTAGAAAAACCTACATGTCACAAAAAACTATATAATGTCAAAAAAACCACGTAATGTCACCTTTCAAGATACGTAATGCCGCTACCGATCTTAATGAAACTTTGCACAATAACAAAATTACCAAGAAATAAGGTAAACGTTATTCGGTATTTTTGAAAGCTTCAAGACTAGATTTTTTGGTATTCCATCAAAATCTACAAGATATAAGATAAGTGTTGACAGAGGACCAATTACCAAAATTACCAAAATCAAATGGTTGCGCATCTTGCTTCAATTCTATCAGCTTATGTGGCAAAAAACTCAAAAACCAAAACGCTACCATCCTGATTTGATCAACACTTCACAAAGTGCTAAACGTTGAACAAAACGGATTTCGGAAATTATAGTATTTTTTTCATTCCTTTGTACCTTATCAAGGGCAACGCCCTGTAACTTACACTGTGAATTCGTTCAAAAAACAATAAATGATAAAAATAAAAGGCAAAACTAATTGTGGCATTCTGCTTACTGTTTTCGGTATTTTTTTTATAGATTCAATCCCATCACTTGATATTCATTAACATGAGTTTTGCTCAAAAGTTAAATCAGATTTAATATGCAAATCTATTAAATTTGACTGTCCAGACCAACTTGAAATTAAGTCCCAAATCCGCAAAAATTCAGTGAGCAGCTCCATACTTGACATTTTATTGCGTGGTGTATTCAAATGAATAAATAACAAATAACTAGCGTTTATTGCAAAACCATTTACAGGACAATCCTAAGGAAAAAATATAAAACATGCAAAAAGCACGTGATGCTATCTAAAGTAAAAAGCAAACAAGAAAAGCAAGCAAAAAACATATTTCATTCAAGTGAGAAATATATCATAAATCATTTCTAGCTACCTCTAGAATGCTGTTCAAACTGTCAGCATGTATATCAATCACAATAACCAGATATGCCATTGAAAGTTTCAAACTTTACATATATGGATGTTTTCAAAAATAAATTTGTGCGAGCCCTGTCACAACAAAAGGTTTTAACGGTACCAGTTTGAATAGATGGGACATTAAAGATTAGTTGAGTCACAATCTCATTAACATCAATTTGTTTCCAAGAGCATAATTGACGCACACTTCCGCAACCTTCAGATATACGAGGGATGTCTTTTAAGTTTTGCATATAGAAACGCGGATCGAACGTCAGTACTGAATCCTAACCTCACTCTTTAGTAAACCTAAATTCAAAATTTCACAACAATACGTGCAATGTTCTCACTACAGTGAATTTTTAAGTGTCACCAAGTCATTAGAAAAATGGAACTCAACCGAGAACATTTTCGCGGCATAATTTATTACAACTTTCAGAAACAATTATCGCAACAAGAATGCCTTGCTGAGTTGTTGTCTGCTTTCGTCAACGAAGCGCCACATCAGTCGACAATTTCCCATTGGTATGATGAACTCAAACGTGAACGGGCGAGTCTTAGCGACGATCCCAGGGTGCGTGCACCAAAAACGGCAGTCACCCAGGAAAACGTCGATGCTGTGCGCAAACTCATCGTTGAAGATAGACATGTGACATATCGCGAGATTGAGGCGTCCTTGAAGATCTCAAAGATTTCAATTCAAAAAATTTTACTAGAAGAATTAGGAGTAAGAAAATTTGTCTCTCGTTGGATACCCTACCTGTTGACTGAAGAGCAGAAAGCAGCCAGGGTTAATTGGTGTCAAAAATCGCTTGACTGTTTCAATTCCGGAAACTCAAGAAATGTGTACAGCATTGTTAGTGGTATTGGTATTATTTGTGTTTGATGAGAAAAAAACTAAGATTTCAATAGTTGGGCCAACTGAAGTGGGAAGAGGCTCGTACGTAATGCATTTCAGCCATTTCGGCATTTGAATAATTCA